GGGTGATAACGGCAGAGGGGTGGAGTCGAGACAGCCAATACAGCATGAGGCGTGAAGCGCCGAGTGCTGTATTGGCTGTCGAGACTCCACCCCGAGTGCCATTATCAGCCATACAGCACTCTTTACTGTGCTATAATTAATTTATGGGATATAGTGGGCGCATCAAAGGCGTCCGCCAAATACACTCCTAGAGAAGTTTTCTCGAGTCTTCAAGGTTGAGACAAAGCCAGCACAAACATTTAAATGCTCGCAAGGCAATTTTCTTTGCCACATAACACGGACTTGGCTGCCCGACGATCAATACAAGAACATCTCTGGGCACTGAAAGACAGCAAAATGCCGACAATGGTCGTAAAAGAGTGTTGTGAGTCTGTTCCGCAATAGGTAGGGCAGTTTCATTTCTTCTCTGGTCACAAAGAACTTCTCACCCAGTACTGCTAGCCATTGTGAAGCCAACCAACCGACACTGACTTCCGGTGCTGTACTAGTGCTGTATGCAATAAAACGGAACAGGCGGTGCCTTTGATGCGCCCACGTAGTATACTATAAATAAACTTACGAGAAAGCAACTTCATGATATTGGTCTAGTTTGTGTAACAGATTACTCTGAATCAAACTGGCATCCAATAAGACATCAATGGGCTCTATGTTTCATCAACAGCTTTACATTTAGTATTCGAACTAATAATCGGTTAGAGTGCATCAATCAAAAAATCAAAAGTGTATGTTCAGCCTTCTCAGACCTTTAACAGTTCTTTGAAGAGTTTTGAACAATAATTTCTTGTCTGAGTTGAAAGAGATCATGTAGCAACTAATTGTGCATCTAAAGTTTCAGTGAAATCACGGGTCTTCAGTAAAGGCTCAGTATAGTCAACCCCTCACTCCTTTTGCTGCCTAGTATATCACAGAGCAACTTCACAAGATGGATAAAGTTAAGTTTGTTGAGGAGGGAGTTGTCAAAGATTTTGAAACATCTTCTAACACTTGCTCTTGTTATTTCAATCAAACAATGAAGTTACCTTGCAGTCACATTTTTGCTTTTAGAAGTAGGAATGAGCAACCTTTGTTTGATGAAGGATTAGCACATATCAGATGGTATATGTCTTGATATACTTATACATGTATTGATAACTTGTCTCAGAATTATGGTGAACCTATGGGATCTGTTTTTGTTACAGCTACTGGAGTTTCAATACCAAAATCCAAGACACAGCATCAGAAGTATAGGGAAGCTCAAGCTATTTGTTCTCGACTCGCACAATTAGTATCAGAATGTTGTGGTTCAGAATTTGAGAGCAAAATAAAAGAACTAGAACGTCTTCAAAGCTTATGGGAGATTGGAAAAACATCTGAGACTCTTGATAAAGATGCAAAAGAACCAGAGACTTGTACTTACCAAGGTACCTAATTTTTATTATGTTAAAAACTATAAACAGATTGATTTTTGATTACACATAAATGCATGCTGGTGTGCACCTACCAAGGTTTTTAATGTAACATTTTATTTTGAAAGAATTAAAATTTATGAAGCCTACATGTATACATTATTATTATTATGTGTTTGTAACTACAAAACCTTTATATAGAAACGATTGATGAATCACATGAAACACAAGTCTTGCATGAGACCACTGTTTGCTTTCTAATGATGAAGATGATATGATGATTTGTGAAGAAGTGATATGTGAAAAGAATGCAGATGTAAGCCAAGAAGTAGAAAAATTGGTAGCTATAAAATTGCCACCAAAAATGCGTAAACATGGTCGACCAAAAGGAGCAGAGACTACAGTGGTTGGTTTGTCAAGAAGTAAGAAGTGAAGTCTGGACCAGTCGCTTTTTGAAAACCTAATTCCTGAAGCTAAAGAAAAGATGATGTTGGCGTGGTTCATTGGAGATGCAACAGCACTTGATGTTCTTAAGGGAAAGCTAGTAACTGAAGATAAGGTTGAAGTTATTCCATAGAATGTGAATAATGCCTGTATTAGTGAATGTGTCTGTTTAGCCAGTGTTAAGCGGTATGTTACTAGTGATGCTTGGAAAGTGGTATTGGACGTTGTTCAACAGAAGAAAGTGAAGTGTGTGTATTATTGTCCTGTTTGTAAACAAGAAATTGATGACTCTAAACATCACAGTATTAATTGTAATTTATGTTTAAGCTGGTTACATCTCAGATGTTCTGGATTGAAGAAGGCTCCCAAGAAAAGACTGTGGTTTTGTCAAAGTTGTAAAAAGTTTTGATGAAGTTTCATTCATTTATTCATTCATAAAAATATTAATAATAACTAATCATAATCTGGCATAATAAGTAGATGGGCGTGTTTCTCGTTAATTTAATGATATTCATACACATATGGTTCAATAGTAAAATCATTAGCGTGCCGACTGTAGGATCACTAAACAGTGCCTTTTTACAATTTTCAGTCAAATTGCACATTTTAAGGTGTCATTGGACTCATCTTTATGTTCATCTAGCTCATACAGTGATAATCATGTAATTAATTATAGATAAACTTGATGACATAAGGAGTTGCCTCATTGCTGGGAGAGAAATAGTTTTAATTCAAGAAGGAAATGCTCACCAAATGAATTAGAAGAATTATGATCCTAATATTAGTATTTTAGAAGGAAGGTCTACCTTTTACAAAAAAAGCCTCGTTGTGCTTGCAGGAGGGCCTTCAGAAAACAGTTCTTGTTAGCAGCGGTGGATCTAGGATTGGATTCTTGGGTGGACCTTAATGATTTGGGTGTGGTAATTAGTGGATTTAGTGGATGTGGCCAACAACGCCTAAATTCAAAGTCAAAATTTTGAAGATTAAAGCTGTTAAAATGAGCTCCTTTGTAGTTTACAAATTGTTTGCATAGTCATGTTTTACAGTTAACAAAGTCATCCACATTAAAAAGTTGATTTTAAATTACTACACAAAATATTTGGGTGGGCGTAGCCTACCGCTAGATCAGCCCCTGCTTGTTAGTGCGATGTATGCTATCTCTGTCTATTCAAACTAGAGTTGCAGCATTGTGTTAGATTGAAGAGAGTCAAATAAAGTTTCTCTAATTTGTAACAGCTCCCATCAGCTCTGCTAGCAATCCACTTTCATTCACAGATGTAAAAGTGATCAATTTCCGATTGGAAGTAGCTAGAGTAAACCATCAATTAACGCATTTCATTGAATAACGGACACTTTCTCTGCAACTAGATCTACTCAATATTTCTGCACCAAATTTGCAGAATAGATGGACCAAACCTTAATGGCCTTTCAAAAGTCAGTCTGGTCCTGCAACTTGCCCGCGTTGCGAAATCCTCAAAAGCTCAAAAGACTGTCTGGTATTTTTCATTTAATGGACGCAAACCATACATAACCGTATATAATTTGTTTTATTTGTAGCTATTGTGCACTGCTATGTTGCATATATTTCATCTATCATTGATTAATAAAATACTATGGTTTCAAATCAATACAACAACTGAGGCGAAAGAAAATATCTTCTCTTTTGATTGCATTGGATTACGGACAAAAAGGGGAGGAGTATTAGATTATTATTACTATTGTTATTGTTATTATTGTCACGTCACTTGCTGTTCAGCCACGTTTTATCTTGCCATGAAAGATAGATGTGTCAAGGGAACTTCATCTCGAAGTCTGACTCATACTCCAGTTCGACCTGCTGCTCGTAAGACATGGTCAGATGATAAAATGGACTTGGCACTAAAGTCAGTATTGGGTAGTGCTCAGGCACTGTTCGAAGAGTTGCTGTAGATTATGGCATACCCAAAAGTACTCTATATGACAGGCTGTCAGGCAAGGTCCAAGCTGGAGCTAAATGTGGTGCACGAGCTTATTTATGGAGTAAGAGAAGGAGTTAGAGGAGTTCCTTATTTCTGTTCAAGGATGGGTTTTGGGAAGACACGTAGTGACGTCATACTTCTTGTGGAGAATTTGCTTATAAGCCATAGAGGACATTGTCAAGTGTCAAATGGATGGTTGGAAGGCTTCTGCCGGAGACATCCCAGGATCAGGCTACGAAATCCTGCCTGTGTTTCAAAAGCAAGAGCAGTTGCCACAGATACTAATGTTTTGGAGCAATATTTCGACATTTTAGAAGGCATTTTAAAGGATGATGATTGTTTTGATAAACCATACCAATTCTATAATGTAGATGAAACAGGTATGCCATTAGATCCCAAACCGATGAAAATTGCTTCAAAAAGGGGTGAAAAAATCCAAGTGTTGTTACAAGCGGAAAGAAGAGCAAGTGACTGTAGTAGGATGTATAAATGCTGGAAGAGTGATGATCCCATCCATGATTATTTGGAATACTAAAAGTTTGAGGCCTGAGCAGACATAATGAAGTTCCAGGAACATTTTATGGACTCTCCGAAAGGGTGGATGGATAAGGAGTTTTTTTTTCTTTGGTTTATGAAGCACTTTCTGCAATATGCAGTTATAGCAAGACCACTTATTTCGTTGTTAGATGGTCACTTCTCATTATTCTCCAAAACCATCCGTTTAGCGAGAGAGCATGATGTGACACTGTTTACTTTCCCTCCAAATACCACACATTTGACACAACCACTTGATGAAGGAATATTTGGCCCTCTCAAAATCCAGTGGTGGGAAGAATGTCATAAGTATCAACAAGAAAACTCAGACAAGATCATAAATAGATTTTCATTTGGTGGTATCTTCTCAAAAGCTTGGATGAAGTTCATGACAACTTTAAATATAGTTCATGCATTTGAAACTGTGGGAGTTTATCCATTCAATTGAGAAGCAATTGGTCTTCCAATTGTGCATACAAGACCGACAGAGGAGTTTACTGGTTTTCATAGTCCACTTCATATCTCTTCCTCTTCTGTTTCTGAGAGACCACACCATAGTTCTCCTGTGCCTCTGGATGTTTATTCTCCACCTTTTTCTTCGTCTCCTTCACTAGGGAATCTTTTTTAAGAACTTGTATAGTTTTCAGAAGAAAAGAAATTTCA